CCTATATATGAATACTTCCTCCTCTTTTATAGAAGAATAAATATGGCCGTTCTGAACTGTATCGGGATCAAATCTTCTCACATACCGTTTACCTTTACAGCAAGAAATTTGATTGGCTGTTTTTAGTAGATCCAATCTGATTGGTGTGATATACATACATCACTCACTCACTCACTCATCCATTGACCCGTCAATAACATACCCGACGCGCCGACTAAGAGGTATTTTTTACAAAAAAATAACTCAAAAATGGGGGTAGCCACGTATTTTTTCGAGATAATTAGCCTTGAGTCTCAACAAAAATGCTGACATCAGCATTTTTCTGAAAAACTAGGAAAGCGTATTTCTGCACAGATTTCCTTAGAATTCGCCTTTACATACAGAAAAGCAGACACATTTAAAAAGATCTTTAAACTACATGGCAAATGGTGACATAAAAACCATTTTTGGCATGTTTTTAACCACAAAATCGTTGCAACAGCGCTTTTAGCGTCTCTGACAGCCTTCCTCTGGTTCAGCTAAAATACAGTCTAAATACCTTTTGCTCACAACCAGAAACTAATCACGTGTTGAATAGGCCTGCCACTTCCATTTCATGACATAGAATGTAGGGGTAACCATGCGTTTTTTAAAGTTATTCATCTTTTTTGAAAACTTTACGGTGCCCGTTACATTTTTTCCTGTCACCTCCCCAGTAAGTAAGACATTTGCGTATCTCGCACATGTTTTGCACGCGCACTATGCCATCTGCAGGTACATGTTTACAGTTGGATTTCAGTATAATTTTCGACTGATAACAGCTAGTTTTTCAGCTGGAAGACGTTAACAGTTAGAGGTTAGCGATGTGCTGCTATTCTAGTGTTCCTGGTTTAAGTACAAGTTCATTAAACTTGATTTGGTCAGAGTGAGAATTTTGCTTTCATTTTAGTCGTGTACTTGGTAGCGTGGTTGATTGCGTCAATGTCAACCCCAGTGCGCGCGCGGCGCTTAAACCATGGCTTGCGTGATGCGCAGAACGTGTGCGCACTAACAAAAGTAGGCACCGTCCTAAAAGGAGCTTGGTCACGGTATTTTAAGTTACTTTGGCAATGGACAACAAAAAAAGACAATAGTTTAGTAAGATAGAAAAACACCAAGGAGATATTAATAAACCATAAGGGAACAAGGATGGTTAAGAATGGAGAAGATTAGCACAGATTACAAACGACGAACTTGAAAAATTTAGGCTAAACTTTTCAAGATGCGCAAACGGTGATGTAGCTCCTTTAATAGCCCACACCATCAAAGACAGTCATTTGAACACAAAGCACACGTGAACAGAATGAGTCATCATCTGATTGAAACCGCGACAAGCAGACTAGAACATGTAAATGAATACTTCTACTATCACAAACTTTGCATTCAGATTCTACAAAAGGGGAACTGCTTGTTTTCAGCTATCAATAATACTGAGTACAAAATGAACGAAGGACCGGGAAGAAATTCACTAAATAGCCTAACCCATCAAGGATAGTCATTTGAACACCAAGTATGAGCGAACAGAATTAGTCAGCATCTGATGGCAAAGACAAGCAGATTAGAGCATGTAAATCAATAATTCAACTAACTCAAACTTTGCACTCAAATTTCTCTCTGATAGGAGGGCTACTTGTATTCAGTATTCAGATATCAATAATACTGAAGTTATTGATTGAAATAATTATTGACCTGTACATGTAAGTTCTCTTCAACATCTGAAAATTTCATGAACATGTGTAACAGTAACAGTAACTTTATCACTGCATAATTCAATTATGCTGTAACAATGTACGCTGACAGTGCACACAGTATACTATAACCTTGTCAAGCAAACGCTTTCTCTTTTGTAATGTTTTTATGTGGTCCTTACAGTGGAATAACCTACACAAAGACAAACCAAACTACCAACCTTGTGCCAAATACAGCTGCACCAGTGTGAGTTTAACATTCATAGCAGTGTTATCATGAGAGCCTGCATAATTCTACAAAGCAATCATACAAATGATAAAAGATTGCCTCCAGAAACCAACAATCTACAGGAAATATCCTACAGGTGACTCATCCCCAGTCATTTTCACACAACTTGATACAGTGCGCATATGAGTTGAGGTGGGAGTGTAGAGTGTAGAGTGACATGGGTAGGGAAATACCACTTGCTCCCCAACCTTGCACTTCTCCCTTGTGCTGTTCCGCTTGTTGTATGAAGACGACTGGGGACAAGTCAGATCCTACACAGTTATGCTCTTTTGATTACACACAAAATATGTCAGCCAAGAAAGATTGTGCAATAATGTGACTAACATGCATGCCGTTGTTTTCTTCTTCCTTTCACGTGGAAAAAGTCACTTTTTCCAAGTAAAAGGAAATAACTTAGAAGTCTACATGCAGGCTATGGCAAGATAAAGTCTGTATATGAGCCATTTTAGTGGCCCATCAGGGCGGCACTTATACATGTATCTCTGCTTTCCGTAACATGAAGCGACAAGGAGTATTTCTACTTCCCCCTGGATAGGATGCTAGTCCATCGCATGGTTACCCACCAGCATTAATAAACTGGTATCCATTTATACACCTTGGTGGAGAGAGGCACTGTGAGAATAACGCTCTTCCACTGTCTGCCAAAAAAATGTCTGCATAGAGGACACTAAACGCTTAAGGGAACTCTGATATTGAAATGTCAATTTGAAATAAAAGCTTTTACGAGTGTTATAAAAAGTATTGCACATACCTTGAGCAGCTCAACTGCTTTATCAGAATGTTTCTCTCGATGGAGGAGTGAAGCTCTCATCAGGCAAGGAAAATCGCTCTCAGGGTATTTTGTTTCCAGGGTAGATATCAGGCTGCGACAAGCTTCAAGCTGTTTATTGAAAAAAGAATGAAAACAAAAAAAATTAAAAAAAAAAACAGATTTACAATCTGCCTTAAGCCTTGCTAGTCATCTTTGCAAAAACTAGGTGGACTGAATGTAGTACACTTCTCCATGGGTTTGATTTCTGCCACTCTCTTGAATTTGGGGAGGGGTAAAGGTCTGTTCATTTCCCTCAACAGCGGCTGATAATTAAGCCATCTGTGGGGCAGAAGCATATCCAAGGCAACCACAGGCCAAATAACACCTGCAAAGGAGACTTATGTGCAGCATTGTCAGATGATGCATTGCATTACCGAGTCTAGGTATCACAGTCAAAATTATGACAGACTGTTTCACTTAAATCACCTGATTTGTGTAGAAGAGCAGAAGGCATCTGTTAAATGCCATGGTTCGCTGTTGAGTTCCAGTCAGTTTGTGCTCAAGTCCATCTGCAGTTGTTGCTTTAACTTTCTTTTTTGAGTCAAACACATCACGGTCCTAGGATTTTTATCCAAACACACCATGATCAAATTCCTCTGCAGTCAGTAACAATTTTTTTAACACAGCATTGGCAACTACAGGTACATAACATGTCATTTGATACTTCACAAGAAATGCCATGCCCATCACTGTCAATGGTAGCATTTTAGTATACACACAGCTTACCTTGTTGAGAGTGATGACATTATTGGAAGCAACAGCTGCTAAGGCAAGGTCATTAGGCCTGTTACAAACAAAGAATGATGAACATTTAGTTTGCTTTGCTCTGAGTTTTTGGCTGGAAAAAGGCCTGAAAATACATCTGTATATGAGTAGGCATTTGTTCAGTCATTTAAAGAATTTGTACCTGGGTTGTAATAGAATATTATGACACTTAAGGTTACAGTATACCTTCAGGGGTGTCTTGCGCGCAAGCGATGTAGCGCGTGCAGTTTAAGCTGTAGATACCTAAACCCCTATATCAAATTAAAGCTTAT